TTCCATTAAGACCAGTAGGTGTTTTCTTCTGCTGTCAAATTCTGGATATTATTGGCTTATTTTTACTCAACAAAGCCCATTAGAGAGCTTCACTTGATAATTTTGTTTTGAGAAAACTCGTTTGAACGCCATCCAATATAGAAATAGCTTTAAAGCACATAAACAAATATTCAAATCATCTTAGCAGTACCATGAGAACCTGCACTGATAGGTTGCCAGCTGTCTCTCCGGTGAATTATTGTATGTATTTTATTTATTTATTGATTGTTTCATTTTGGTTTGTTTTTCTAATGTAGGTCTGGTTTGGTGGTCTGTCATTACTTGTTTATGAGTAAATTATGTTGTGAGTAGTATTTCATGAAATCCAACAAAGTTAAGTCAGGTCCTCTGGACGATTTCTATTTTTTCTTTCTTTTTTTTGTTTCGTTTGTTTGTTTGTTTTGCTGAAACATTGCATCCTTCATCCAAAGGACTTCATCAGTCCGAGGAGCCACAACAAACTCAGTTCTACAAACAGCACACTCACATAGTTTGCTGGTGATAAGATGGTTTCTGGAGTCCGCCCTCTCCCTTGTCGGCTCCTCTAAGGCAGCCATGGCCAAAGTGGTTCAAAACATCAAATTTCATGCTCAATAATCCAGGTTAAAAAAATCCAACAAAGTTCAGTCAAGTCCTCTTGCCAGTTTCTTTCTTTTTCTTTTCCCTCCCTTTTTTTAAGAACTGTTGAGTTTGTTGTGGCTCCTCGGACTGATGAAGTCCTTTGGATGAAGAACGAAACATTTCAACAACAAAAAAAGAAATTGTCCAGAGGACCTGACTGCTGATTTATTTCATCCAGCTGTGTTCATTCCTACTCATCTACTCACACAGACTCATGTTCGTGCTGCTGTTGGTCAGCGTATTGTTTTGGACTATTAATGTTTAGTGTATTTCTTAGTTTATATCTTAGATCTTGCTACTGTTTATTTTACATTTTGTATTTTTGCTATTGCTGGATGTAACTGGGACCCTGTGTACACAATTTTGTTCCACCTCATGTACCACATGTGATGTGAATGACAATAAAGAACCTTGAACTTAACTTTATTGGATTTTTTTTAAAACCTGGATTATTAAGTATGAACTTTGAAATTTCATGAAATGTTTGTGTTTCTTAGCTGCAGACATGTCAGTCTTTTTACTGGTGTCGCTATTTGATGAAAGAAGACCTTGAGGAGAGATTCCCAGAAAACCACCTTCTGTGTTACTTTTTCTTAAAATCAAACAAAGGTGAGGCTCATCATGGAACTGGGTGTTATAGAAAATCTTGAAGTTTTTTTCTCCTTAAAATCCACTTTACAAGCAGCTCACATTTACCTATCTGAAACTGAAATGTTATACTTAACCATTACAGATAGACAGACAGACATGCAGACAGTCAGACAGACAGACAGACATGCAGACAGACAGACATGCAGACAGACAGACAGACAGACAAACAGGCAGACATGCAGACAGACAGACAGGCAGACATGCAGACAGACAGACAGACAAAGTGTAGATTGATGCACATTTGTGATATTTCCACCTCAGCACTGACTGGCTGAATACTGTCTATATTTCAACTGTTTTTAGTTTCTGCACTCACATAATTGTATAAATGTTTATAAATCATTTTCACTATTAAGATTCATATTTCTTCTGTATGTGTTTTGGCACATAACTCATTCTGCAATTGTTGTGCTATTCCACGCTCCACCCGCTCGCCATTTCAGCAATTCCTATATCAAAATGTTGAGCTCTTTCAGGACATTCCTGCTATGACTTTTTGTATTTGTACAGTTTTTACTTTTAGAAAAGTTTATCTTTGTCGGCCATGTTTTTCTAACTGAAATTGATTGGTGCTGTCTTCACATCCTTCGAGCACTTTCAGCTGTTTACAACCTGTTACTGCTGATTTCAGCATTTGATCCGGTTCAGCTTTTATCAGCTTGTTTGTGCTAATGTCAGCTTCCTTCAGCTCCTTTCAGCTTCATTGATTCTAGCTGACCTGAAAATTTTCCATAAAATGAAGTATTTTTCTCAGAAAATATTTGCAATTACACTTTTTTTTGTTATTACATGTTTACTTCCTTTCTGTGTATTGAAACAAACAAACAAACAAACAAAAAAAAAGCCAAAATGTATCTAATTTTATGCAAAACTCCAAAAATGGGCTGGACAAAATTATTATTATTAATACTTAATATTTAGTTGCACACCCTTTGGAAAGAATAACTGAAATCAATCACTTCCTATGACCATCAACAAGCTTCTTCACCGCTCAACTGGAATTTTTGGAGCACTCTTCTTTTGCAAACAGCTCCAGATCTCTGATAGTTGAAGGGCGTCTTCTCCCAGCAGCATTTTGTCGATCTCTCCATGTGTTCAATGGGATTTAGCTCCAGACTCATTGTTGGCCACTCCAGAACTCTCCAGCACTCTGTTTCCATCCATTGTGCTTTTTGAAGTATGTTTGGGGTCATTGTCCTGCTAGAAGACCCATGACCTATACAAACCCAGCTTTATGACAATGGGCCCTACATTGTGACCCAGAATCCTTTGGTAGTCTTCCGATTTCATAATGCCTTGCTCACAGTCAAGGCACCCAGAGCCAGAGGCAGCAAAACAATCCCAAAACATCTATGAACCTCCATCATATTTGACTGGTTCTGTGTTCTTTACTTTGTAGGTCTTGGTAAACAGTAGAATGATGTTCTTTACCAAAAAGCTCTATCTTAGTCTCATCTGTCCACAAGACGTTTGCCCAGAAGGATTTTGACTTACTCACGTATATTATGACAAACTGCAGTCTAGCTTTTTTATGTCTGTGCGTCAGTGGGGTCCTCCCGGGTCTTCTGCCATACCATCCATCCATCCATTATCTTTACCCGCTTCTTCCATTTTGGGTCACGGGGGTCGCTGGTGCCCATGTCCAGCAATCACTGTGCGAGGGGCGGGGTACACCCTGGACGGGTCGCAAGTCCATCACAGGGACACATAGAGACAAACGAGACAAACAACCATTCACTCTCTCACTCACACCTAGGGCCAATTTAGAGTTACCAATCAGCCTAACATGCATGTTTTTGGTCTGTGGGAGGAAACCGGAGTACCCGGAGAAAACCCACGCATGCACGGAGAGAACATGCAAACTCCACCCAGAGGGCCCATGGACCGGGGTTTGAACCAAGGACCTGCTCGCTGAGAGGCAGCAGCTCTACCAGTTGTGCCACCGTGCTGCCCCCTTCTACCATACCGTTTGGGTTCATTCAAATGTCGACAGAGAGTTGGCGCTGATACTGATGCTCCTTGAGCCTGCAGGACAGCTTGAATTACTTTGGAACTTGACTGTGGCTGCTCATCCACCATCCCGACTATCCTGAGTTGCAACCTTTCGTCATTTTTTCTCTTCCGTCCACATCCAGGGAGATTAGCTTACAGTGCCATGGGTTGTCAACTTCTTGATTATGTTGCACACCATGGACAAAGGAACATCAAGATCTCTGGAGTTGGACTGGTAACCTTAAGATTGTTGATATTTTACACTATATAGTTTCTCAAGCCCTCAGACAGTTGTCTTCTGCTCTTCCTGCTCTCCATTACTTGAGTACTCAATGCAAAGACTGAATCAACTTCGCTCCTTTTTAGTTTCAAGTGTGATTTTTTTTTTAAATTGACAACACCAGTCACTTGCCACAGGGGAGTTTAAAGATAATATAAGATACAAAAGATGAAAAAATTAAAATCACATGCTGGGGTTGTGGGAGCTTGGTGATCAGTGCCATGGTCTTGTAATCCTGAGGTTGTGGGTTTGAGTCCAGGTTGTGTCAAAGGGCATCCAGTGTAAAACAAAGAGTCTAATCTTTAATGCGAGTGTGCTCGCTGTGGTGACCCCTGAGGGCACTGCTGACAAAATAACTTACTGTACATGCTTGAAACAAAGTTATTGATCCACAATGGGGCGGCTGTGGCTGAGTGGTTAGAGCAGTCGTCCTCCAATGCAAGAGTTGTGGGTTTGATTCCACCAGCAGTCATATGCCAAAGTGTCCCACTGAACCCCTCATTGCCTCCAATGTGTCCCATTGATGAATGAATGATTTAAAGCACTCATTTGTAAAGAAATAGTAGAGTGCTGTATGAATGGGTACACGAGGGCACAGATTGTGTAAAGCGCTTTGAGTAACTTGATAGACAGGAGCTATATAAGTACAGTCCATTTACAACTTTGGAAAGGTGCCAATAATTTCGTCCCGCCCATTTTTGGAGTTTTGCCTGGAATTATATCAATTTTGACCTATTTTTTTTAATGTTGTTCTAATGGAAATAAACATGTGTATAACAAGACATGTGTAATTGCAATACTTTTCAGGGAGAAATAATTTTGTGGGAAAAATGTCAGGGGTACCAACACTCAGCCATGACTGTAAGTTCACCAACTTATTCACAAGACATATACGATCTCGTGAAAATCTCTTTTTTTATTGCCATTGTTTCTTTTTCGCTTCATATTGTCGATCTTTGACGCATATATATTTGTTCATTAATTGATTATTAATCTTTTTACACTCCTATTGTTTGTGCCATTTTATCACCTGCTTCCCTTAAGTCGTTTTTCCAGAATAAATCGGCAGCCGGCGCTTTAATAAAACGCCGGGCTTTATTCTAATGTGTTTGTTGAGATGCGCGTGTCCGGCTCCAGCAGCAGCTGCTGCCGGGGCGGGCTGACCTTTCTGTGTCCCGGCGGGCAGGTACGGAGAGGAGGAGGAGGAGGAGGAGGAGGAGGAGGAGGTGAGGGGGAAGGGAGGCGGAGACTCTCCCGGGGAGCAGCTTCATATCGGACCGGTCCCGAGTCCCCGGACCACAAGCGAAGAGGCTGAGCTGTCCTCGCGCGCAGCCTGCGGGGATGAAGAGGCGCGCGTGCTGATCTCTGCTGCCTGCCTTTAATCTGACCGTGGGGGTGATGAGGGGGTCCCGCTGACACCACGGAGAGGTCCAGGCTGACACCGAGCATGGCTGTGGACGGTAGGAGCTCTCAGGAGTTCGTCTTTCTCTTAAAACACGTCACGTTCACGCAGTGAGGCAGGATCCAAGTTTCTGCCAGGAGCACAGATCTGCTCCCAAACTTCTCTGATGCATGAAGTCACGAAGAGTGTTTGTCTTCATGTGTTTAGAATATGCATGCTCATCCAAAACTATACGGAAAGAAATCTTGGTTTTACTGCAAACTTGTCTCGTGTTAGTTTATCTGACAGGCTGCTCATAAATTAATTAAACGTTGTTATTCTCATTTTTCATGCTACTCTATAAAACAAAGATAAAATATATACCTGTCTTCCACTTTAGCATTAAAGACACAAAATAAACCTCAAAGATACACATTTTGTGTTTTGAGTTTTTCTGTAGGGAATAATTGCACAGTTTTGAAACTAGTGATGAGTGTTTTTAAAGATGTGGACACAGAGTTATGGCTTAAAATAAAGGATTTTTTTTAATTTTCTGTAATAATAGTTGGACATCAATTTGAGATGAGTGGCAGACACGTTTGGTCAACTTTATTTTGCTGCGTCACCTCACAACTTTTCATCTTTTAGCAAACAATCAGACACTAACACACCATCACTGGGATGTTGTTTGGAGCTTCTGAAATGTCTGCTGGGTTCTTTGCTGCAGATCAACAAATCAATGTCTCCTCACTTTTGACCCGTTCACACCTTGATCAGGTTCAAGTGGTCAGCTTGTCTTGACAGCGTTCACCTGCTGTTTAAATGCATATTCAAAATGTTTTATAGGGATTGGATTACATGTGAGATTAGCTCTTAACAGATGTGGATATACAGGTTCAATCTACTGTAAGAATAATATGGTGGAGGGTTCGTTCTCATTGCTTTACCTGTCAGTGGTCATAATGTAATGACTGTAAAGTGAGAATTGAATTATCTCAGCTTAATTAGACAGCATTGATTTATTCTGGGCCATTGAAGCCACACAGAGATCTATCCCTCCTAAACTTTTATAGAGATTTAACACCATCATTGTCATTCATTAATTCTATTGATGTTGTATTTACACGAGTTTGAATTTGATTTTACTCCAACCGCGTTGTAAAACATGCAGAGAGGTTTTATATTTACTATACCGAGCTGGTTTCAGTAACGTATAATCAGTGAATACAATCTTTCCAAGCTTGAAACACCAGAACAGTTTAAATGTGAAATTAAAATGACATGGGAAGCAACAATCCTCCTTTAATTTACAAGCAATAAAGAGAGACTGTCTAGGGAACTCCATGAGGTTCTTATTGGGTTGGGGTGAGGAAGTTGTCATTTTTTTAAATGATGTTTGTCGAATGGCCTCACCTGACCTCAACTCTGCTGTTTATGGGGGAAAAAAACTGAAATTCATTTGCCCGTTTCTATAAGGTTGAGCTATATGTCACTGCACAAAACATAAAAACGAAAGGAATAAAATACATATTTTACAAGCAGATTATGTCCTCGACGCGCTTCCGTCTCTCACCTTTGTAAGTTCACGCTGACAACAAAGGTGGAGTGTTGCTGCGTCAGCGTTGGCTTTCTATGAGGATGTCATTGTTGCAGAATCTGCTGGAGCAGCTGCAGCATCTCCTCTTGAGGCGACTTGTTCGTCGTGCCGTTGCTCCGTTTAGGTCTTGATTCTGCTCTCTGACTGATCGGCTGCCTCCTGACATGTGCATGACCTTTGACACCAATTTACTTAAAAAAAAAACCCAGCACCAACGTGGTTATGATCCAGTGATTTTTACAGATATAAATCTAAGCTTTGATGTGCTAGTAGCTAAAATTGATCCCCTACACATTTTTGGATCACAAACAAACTGAATAAGATCTTTAAACATTTGTTATAAATGTTTGGAGTCAGCTTTGTCTGTTAGCAAGGGATCTCTTGAACCTCTGGAAATATTTGTTGAAGCTTTTGGGAACTACTCATTAGGCGTACCATTTAAAACTGATTAACCTTTGAAGACAAGCTGATTTAAGTTCAAGTTTATTGTCATGCTCATCACATGTGGTACAAGTGGTGGAACGAAATTATGTACTCGGGGTTCCAGTTACACCCAAAAATAGCAAAAATATAAAGTATAAAAAGCATATATACACTAAGATATACGCTAAACAAACGGTACACTAAAAGATCTAAGATATACGCTAAACACTAATAATGTAAAATAATACGACATAACAACAGCAGTGCGAACATTAAGATGGCTGCAACAGACAACATTCTTTAGAAAACACAGAAAAATGACTAGAAGTCAGCCGGTTTTAAAGATACTGAGCTAAAATCTCCTGATATCTTGTGAACCACTGGACAAATTTGACGAAACTTTCAGGAAGGAATCGTTAGGTGTACATTTACAACTTATTTACTTTTGGGGTCAATCCATTTCAAGATGGCTGCAATAGCTAATCAACATCAGCCAACCCAAAATAGCTATAACTTTAATAGTTTTACAGATAACATGCTGTAGATGTAGCTGAGAGTCATGCATCTCACTACATCGAATATTTTTCAAGGTTTGACGAAGATGGCTGCTGTTTTATTTCTCTCAGCATATCTGGCATGAAAGGCAGAGGTGAAATGCATGACTTTAAGGCTTGCTAAACTTTTAGTTTAATTCAGACCAAAGCTGTAATCTGAAGCATAAACTGCTACTGAACAGTTTACTCTGAGACTCTTTGGACACTAACTGGTTAGTAAGTGTGGGACACCTTCAGTAAAAACCTGCAGCGTTATTGTTGAGATGTCCACACATTTCGTGCAAAAGCTAGTTTGTACTACAAAAGGGTATAATGGACATTATAGCCTTATCTTCATGTAAATTATAGAGAAATTTACAGTTTCTTCCTCACATGTTACACAATTTTGTTCTCCTCAGCATTTAGTCATTTCAGGGGGATGAATTTCTCAGAAGTCTGCTTAAACCGGTCAGGAAATCTGGCAGCATTGTCACATCCAAGATAAGCAGGCGTACAAATGATGCTGCTTGACCGCTGCACACTCCAGAGCACATTGTCCACGAGCGGGATTATTTTTCTTTTTCTTCCAGAAGAAAAAGCGGCGCAGAAGAAATAGTCACAGGAGCAAGACTGTGTGTGTGTGTGTGGGGCAGGCCTGGCTAATCTCAGCACGATGTCTAAAGATCTTTTGCAGATGCAGGAAATGCCAGGATGGCTTCCGTTTATCCATGTGTGCACTGCTAGGGATGGATGTATACACGTGCACAGACAAAGTGGAGAAAAGGGCAACGACCCGTGCTCGTCACCAACCTGGCAGGCCTCGTGGAAACAAGCAGACAGCTGGGTCTGAATCTAAACAAAACCCATTTGTTTGTTTCAACCCCTGTTGGCTTTCTGTGGACATGTCAATATCAAGTAGAGGACACTGTGGGAGGGTTGTGGAACAGCAGCTATTCGATGAAAGGCACTTTACGATATCTCCCCATGACTTGAGATGCTACAGAGTTTTATCTCTCGTCTGCAAATGTGAAGCATTGTTAACGATTTTTCCTGCGTCTGTGTGCATGTTTGTGTTGGTTTGTCTGTAGCTTTAGCAAAATACAGTATTTCATGAACCAGTGGGTGCAATTTAACGATTGTCTCAAAGTAATCATTGAGCCTACACCTACAACTCTTCAATGTTTCCAATTCAAGATGGCCACTACAGCAAAGTAAACTTGTGAAATGCAGCGATGGCTATAACTCAGTCAGTTTTACAGATGTTGATTTTAATTTTTGTGAGGTAGAAGTTCATGGTCATTCCCAATATTTTCTTTGAACACTAATGGATTATTGTTTTTTTTTTTAATCAGTTAACTATTGGAGTCAACTGTGTCTTTAACTGAGTGTGTAATGAATTTATCAGGGGCAAAATTCCCCCTTCGGGTTGGGGAGGAGACTTTGCCTCAGGTGGAGGAGTTTATGTATCTGGGCGTCTTGTTGACAAATGATGGTAGGATGGAGCAGACAATGGATCGACAGATTGGGGTCTCATACTCAGTAATGAGGACATTGCTTCAGTCTGTCATGGTGAAGAGAGAGCTGAGTTGAAAGGCATCCATCCATCCATCCATCCATCCATCCATCCATCCATCCATCCATCCATCCATCCATCCATCCATCCATCCATCCATCCATCCATCCATCCATCTATTGTCTTTACCCGCTTCTTCCATTTTGGGTCACGGGGGTCGCCGGTGCCCATGTTGAGCAATCACTGTGCGAGGGGCGGGGTACACCCTGGACAGGTTGCAAGTCCATCACAGAGACACAAAGGCAAACAAGACAAACAAACATTCACTCTCTCACTCACACCTAGGGACAATTTAAGTTACCAATCAGCCTAACATGCATGTTTTTGGTCTGTGGGAGGAAATCGGAGTACCCGGAGAAAACCCATGCGTGCACGGAGAGAACATGCAGACTCCACCCAGAAATGCCCCCCGACCAGGATTTGAACCATGATAACCTGCTCGTTGAGAGGCAACAGCTCTGCCAGTTGCACCACTGTGCTGCTGAGTTGGAAAGCAAAGCTCTGGATTTATTGTCCATGTTACGGCCCTCACCTATGGTCATGAGTTTTGGATCATGACTGAAAGAACGAGATCCCAAATACAAGCGGCTGAAAAGGGCTTCCTTCGCAGGGTGGCCGGGCTCAGCTTTAGAGATAGGACGAGGAGCTCCATCATCTGGAGGGAACTCGAAATAGAACCACTGCTCCTCTGCATCGAAAGGAGTTAGTTGAGGTGGTTTGGGCTTCTGATTAGGATGCCTCATGGATGCCTCCTTTTAGAGGTTTTCCAAGCACATCCTACTGGTAGGAGGTCCCGGGGAAGAACCAGACAATGCTGGAGGGATGGTGTATCTTTACTGGCTTGCTGCCTCGGGGTCCCCCAGGACAAGCTAGAAAGTGTTGCTGGGCAGAGGGAAGTCTGGATTTCTTTTCTAGACCTGTTGCCTTCGTGAACCGACTACAGATAAGCAGTA